GTCGGAAAATGCCATTTTATTCCTTTTATACCCTTTTATTGCTTTTATTTGGAGGCCCCAGGGTTAAAAATAAATTTCCCAGTTTTGAATTTTTAAATAAAACCAAGGGATTAAAATTTTTTTTGATCATTTTTAGGGGGGTATTAAAAAAAAAAAAAGGCCTTTTAAGAATTAAAGGTTTTAAAAAAAGTGGAATTGCCCAAGGAAACCTTTAAGGAAGGAAGAGGAGTTTAAATGAACTTGGAGAGGGGAAAAGTCAATAATTACCTATATAAACGCTATTACGTTTATAATAAATAATAAACTTAATTTTAGGTTTGTTTTGTCATTATATTAAGGAGTTGTGGACAATTCTATTATTGTTCATTCATAGTGTAATCTTTAACTAATTTTCTAAAAATTCAAAAAAAGGTTTAATAAAAGAAAACTTGAATGTAGAGGTATCATTAAAAAAATGGCTATTTCTACATTAGAACATTATCTTTCATATCATATTAGATTACTGACTCCTCATATACTTTCTACGAGAGTTTCTGTTAAATTAGCATATATTTTTGCATTGATTTCAGCTGTAACAGCAGGATTTGTATCATTAATATCATTATATACTCAACCATGGCAAGAAAGATTGCATTATACGTCATTACAAATAAATACTATCGCTAGTATGACAACTTTAGGGATGTATCTAACGCCGCCAGTATTGGGATTTGTAGCAGATTTACATGGTCCAATTACTCTAAATTTTTTTGCAATTCTAGGTTTCATACCTTGTTATTCTTATTTATCATATAACTTTAATTCTGCAAACTCTTCAGATAGTTTCCATAAGACTTTGGTTTGTTTTGTATTGATTGGAGTCGCAACAAGTGCATCATATTTTAGTGCTTTATTGACATGCGCAAAATTATATCCAAAGAAGAAATTATTATCAATTAGTTTGCCTACTACATGCTGTGGGTTATCTTCGCTATTGGGTTCGCAATTACTGTCGATAAAGTGGTTTTGGTACAAAAACCATGAATATCTAGACTTATCAAAAGTTTTCAAATTTTTCAGCATTATTTATTTTATAGTAGGCATTTTAGCATGGTTTGCAACAGGCATAATTACAATACTACATCATCATGTAGAGCATGAAGAAGAAGAGGCACAACCACTTCTATCTGCGGTTACCTCGAATCAATCGCAAGAGATAACAAAGATGAGCCAAAAGCAATTTTTTAAAGATCCAGTAACTTATATTTTAGGGATATCAATGTTATTATCATTGGGCCCATCGGAAATGTTTGTAGCCAACATGTCATCATTATCGAATCTATTGACTAAAAATGTGAATACCAAAATGTTATCTAGTCAATTACTATCAGTATATTCTGCATTTTCTACATTTACAAGATTAGGAACAGGTATTTTGACAGATTATTTTGTGGAAAGAAAAATATCACCAAAATGGATTCTTTTGTCAATGTTACTCGCCAGTATTTGTTCTCAGTTATTTATCAAAGTGCTAACGCTACAATCTAACTCTACAGCAACTCCCAACCTTATTCTTCTAATGGGATCATTGTCAGGTTTCGCCTACGGTGGTTTGTTCACTATATACCCAACGATCATATTAATTGTGTATGGAGAAGAACTATTCGGAACAGCATATGGAACAATGTTAGTGGCGCCAGCATTAGGTTCCACGATGGCGTGTTTGCTATATGCTAGCACATATGATACGCATTGCAATAACAATTCATCTACATCGTCATGCATTACGCCAGTATATCAATCTACTACAATTTCATTGGCACTTTCATTAATAGTGACACTTATCCTTCTTCGAGCTTGGAAAAGACGTAAAGTGCAACTGTGAAAACAAGACAAATTCGCCAAAAAGAAAGGCAAAAAATAAAAAAACAAGTAATCAAACACTAAAATAAGATAAGAATAAAGTCAATCACTTTCCCATACACACAAAGACACACTGGACCAAACAAAGCTTTCATTACTGTCCTTCTGTATGATACATTCTTCGGTATCCTTTTTCCTTTATTTTTTTTTTTTATTTTTATGTTCTCCATTAGCTCATTGACATATTTAACAATAAATGCTTACATCAAAAACTGAAAAAGGTCATTGCATCGAATTGATCTTGATTTGATCTTGCACCTTTCTTTTTCCCTATTTTCATTCACAACTATCCCAAACCCAAAAATAAGAGAACATTTAACAGTTGGCTCTGCCCTACGTTAATTTTCAGACCTAGCATTCTCCATATCAATTCTATAGAAAGCAATTCTCATAGAAAACATAGAAAATATATATAAATATATATGTTAACCGTCTATCTCCATTCCTCTCGCTACCATTCTTTTCTAATTAAATCCATCATCTAATTCCTCGCTCTATATATCTCTCTCATCTACAGTTAATATTCAGTTCTGTATGGTCCATTCTTTGCATCCCATCCCACCTTATCCTACCTAACCTTACAGATTAATTTCCAAAATCCTGTCTACGTCACATGGAACATCTCAAACTTTACCCGGCCCCATTGTTTCAAAAACTACGTAACTGTTTTCCCTTCCTCTATCCCATCCAGAGTTTTCCCAGCTCGAATTTTTTTTTTTTTTCTTTTCGGTTCCCACCTTTTTTTAACGTTGCTGTCCAAACTTTTGTTTGACGTGGTCGAAAAAGAAGACTTTGGAAAAAAAATTATGTATATTGTTAATTTCGATTCGATTGAAAGTCTACAGTTAATTAATTGTACAATTATCACTATTTTTTCGAAATTTCGAAGTTTTAATGTTTTAATGTTTTAAATTATGCAGAAATATCAGTTTTATATATACTTTTTGTTGTAACAAGTTTGAGTTAGTTTACAATTCATTCATCTCTTGTTTTCTATATTAAAGATTATTCCTTTACATTTTGGATTGAGTTCTTAATACTTTCTGTATTCGAAGTATATATTTATATACAATTTATAATTTATAATTTCTGTTCTTATAGGAAAAGAAGAATTGTGTGGGAAATCAGAATTTCAAGATATACTGCTTTTTTTTTACAAATCATATTTAAATTTTAAGTCTTTTTTTCAATTGATAATTTTCTATTAAAAAGATCTATTATTTTCCCTATTCCCCTCCTCCCACCTATCCTACTACAAGATTGTGTATTTTAGTGCCAATTGTTACCTTTGTTCAATACCACTTTCACATCCAACTATTAATTGATTGATTCATCTACCTGTCATCAACTACTTTTAATAATAATTCGAATTCCCCTGCTATTAAAAATAAATAAATAAATAAGTAATAATGTCTGGACGTATACTTGATGCTTTCAAGCCTTTTGAAGCTTTCTTACCAGAAGTTATCGCTCCTGAAAGAAAAGTTCCATATAACCAAAAATTAATTTGGACTGGTGTTTCATTATTAATTTTCTTGGTTTTAGGTCAAATTCCATTATATGGTATCGTTTCAAGTGAAACTGCCGATCCACTTTATTGGTTACGTGCAATGTTAGCTTCAAATCGTGGTACTCTAATGGAATTAGGTGTTACTCCAATTATTACCTCTTCAATGATATTCCAATTTTTGCAAGGTACTCAATTGTTACACGTTGATATGCAAAAAAAGGAAGATCGTGAATTATTTCAAATCGCTCAAAAAGTCTGTGCTATCGTCTTAACTTTTGGTCAAGCTGTTGTCGTCGTAGCTACAGGTAATTACGGTAAGCCAAGTGATTTGGGTTTGGCTATTTCTTTGATCTTAATCTTTCAATTGATCTTCGCATCTTTTATCGTTCTATTGTTAGATGAATTGTTATCAAAGGGTTACGGTTTAGGTTCTGGTATCTCTTTATTCACAGCTACCAACATTGCCGAACAAATCTTCTGGAAAGCTTTTGCTCCAACTACTGTCGACACTGGACGTGGTGTTGAATTCGAAGGTGCTGTCATCGCTTTCTTCCATTTGTTAGCTGTTAGAAAGGATAAGAAGAGAGCTTTGGTTGAAGCTTTCTACAGACAAAACTTACCAAATATGTTCCAAGTTATGTCTACAATCTTTGTATTTTTATTCGTTCTATACTTGCAAGGTTTCCGTTACGAAATTCCAATTAGATCTACTAATGTCAGAGGTCACTTTGGTTCTTATCCAATTAAGTTATTTTACACTTCTAACACTCCAATCATGTTGCAATCAGCTTTGTCTTCAAATATCTTTTTGATTTCTCAAATGTTGTACCAAAAATTCCCAAGCAACCCTTTTATTCGTTTATTAGGTGTCTGGGGTGTTAAACCAGGTACTCAAGGTCCACAAGTTGCCTTAAGTGGTTTATCTTATTACATTCAACCACCATTATCTTTGAAAGAAATTCCATTGGATCCAATTAAGATCGCTGTTTACATCGCCTTCGTCTTGGGTTCATGTGCCATCTTCTCAAAGACCTGGATTGAAATCTCTGGTACCTCTCCTCGTGACGTTGCCAAGCAATTCAAAGATGAAGGTTTGGTTATTAATGGTAAGAGAGAAAGCAACGTCTACAAAGAATTAAAGAAGATTATTCCAACTGCCGCTGCTTTCGGTGGTGCCACTATCGGTGCTTTATCAGTTGGTTCAGATTTCTTAGGTACTCTAGGTTCTGGTACTTCCATCTTGATGGCAACAACTACTATTTACGGTTACTACGAAATGGCCGCTAAAGAAGGTGGTTTCTCTAAGAGTTTAGTTGCCGGTGTCTCCGAATTGATGTAATGTACATACATATATTCATGACAATCACTGGAAATAATTTGTACTTTTATACATAATTTTGGTTGTCATTAAAGCTATTAATTGTTTTATAAGAATATAATTTAGATAAACAAATAGATATTAGTAATATCAATGAATAAAAAACATTGTACGTAATAAAAATCGACGATTTGCAGACAAAGAATCTTCTGTAGATTTTGGTTGGAAAAAAAATCTCTGCTGTTTTACTGATGCATTGTTTCCATTGTTGCAAATACACAACAAAAAAGTATCCAAAAAAGAAGAACTCCTCATAGGGGGCTCGAACCCCTGACATTTCGGTATCCTTGGTTTAAACTTGGAATTGTTTAAAAGCCGAACGCTCTACCAACTGAGCTAACAAGGATGAGTTCTTCGAGAAATTGAAATATTTCAGTTCTCTAAATCGATAATTTCGGCTGAATTTTGTGTATTGATTAAGCGTTAGTATAAAGTGACAAGGTTAAAGTAAAAGGATTTACCTTACATGTGAATATTACAATGACGCTAATAAATGGCTAACGCGACGTATATAAAGGACGGAGTTCCTGAAGTATAAGGTACACACGTCTTGCTATTAAAAGAGAGACAGAGATATTTATATATATTAATAATACTGTATAGTTATTATTGTCAGAAATTATGAGATGACGTAAAGTCATACTCATTAATTCAATATTAATAAGGGTGAAGAATTATATGAAACATCATTATTAATAAGGGATAAAGAAATGTTTCTAATACGAAAGCATTTACTTCTGACGTGTGAATAATATCTAAACATTGTATATAAAGACTGATAAGATCTTAATTGACACTTATCATATGTACTATATTCCCATGTGTATATTTTATACTTTAATACACCGGATCAATATCATCTAATTAAAAATGTCCTTGCAAACAACTAAACAATCAACTACTATTAATGATTCTGTAAAGAATCCACAACCCTCTGATTCTCTACATGGCTTCCCCGCCAGGACACCAGATGAGGATTTGATCCACGAATCTACTGGAAACAGTAACAGTGAATTAGTATTCAAGAAAATTAAAGAACTTGAAGATGAATTTACGAAATTGCTATTGTCACCTCGAAGCAAAGAAATTATCGAGAAGAGACAAGCTATTCAGGATGAAATCTCAGATCTGAGAACATCCATAAAAGTTCTCAATGAATTGTCAAACTTTGAGGATTTGGCTGAATCTAATAATTCAGTCACAATGAAACCATCCTCTAAAAACAATAAACAAATTGGTTTTAAGCTGGTAAATAATAATGGTGAAGAAGTATCATACAATGCGCATAATGATGCTTACCCATTTGATTGGAAGTTAAAGGGTATTAAAAATTACCCAAGATGGCTTGAAGAATTTAAGAAATTTCTTGAAGCACATAACTTCGATGATATAACATATTTGTCAAATGAGACAGTTATATCAACTGCAGAGGATCATGTTCTTATGAACATACTAAGAAGTAATATTCAAGATCCAAAATTGGCAATGTTTTTAGAAACAGCCAATTCAGCAATAATCTTATTGAATAAGATTGAAAAGAAATATCAAGAAACTTTCACAATGGAGTTTAGAGAAACCTTGTGGAAGGATATTGCATTAAACAAGAATTCTTCTGATCTGGACAAACAACTTTCAGATGCTTCTATACTAATCAAATTGGATAAACACTTTGGTACTATAAATAAGTATACAATATCTGATTTACGTCAATATACTGACAAGAAAATCCTTGATCTAATTCAATTAGAACATGGAAATCCTTATAATATTGATGCTTTGTCTGTTCTTGGACATATCGAAGAAACGATTAGTGATATGAAGAAGGAAGATATCTTAAGAGGCAGAAAAAACAATAAAGAAGGGAAACCTTCTACTACCTCAAAAACCTCTAATAATCTTAGGCAATTCAAAAACAATTCGAAACCTAAGACAACCACAACATCAGTAAAACCAAAAAATAAGTATCTTGAT